ATTGACTCCCTTAAGCAACCTCTTCACCAAGGGCTTGAAGTAAAAGATTTGGGGGAACTACGCTACTTCTTGGGAATTGAGGTAGCTAGACCTAAGCATGGCATCTTTGTCTCCCAAAGAAAGTTTGTTTTGATTTGTTGGAAGAAACTAGGAAGTTAGGAGTTAAACCAACCGACACACCCATTGAGCTAAACCATAAGATAAGTGTAGAAAGTGGAGAGCCTCTTGAAGACAAAGTTATGTAGCAGCGATTGGTTGGGATACTTCTCTTTGCCTAACACGATCAGACATTTCTTATGTTGTTGATGTTGTTAGCTAGTACATGCATTCTCCCAAAACCACCCACCTTCTCGTAGTGGAAATGATACTTGCCTATCTGAAGAGATGCCCGTGGAGGTATACTCTTCAAAAATAATGGTCACATGAAAATAGAAGCATACACAGATGTCGATTGGAATGGTTGTGTTGATGACAAGAGATCTAACTCCAAGTATTGTTCTTTTGTAGGGGAAAATCTTGTTTCCTAGAGGAATAAGAAACAAAATGTTATTGCTCACTCCAATGCTGAAGTTGAATACAAATCTATGGCTAATGGAGTGGCAAAAGTGTTATGGTTGTGATCTTTACTTGATGAGCTGGGTGTTGAATATGAGAAGCCTTTGATGTTGTATTGCAATAATCAAGCTACAATTAACATTGCTCACAATTCGATACAACATGACAGAACTAAACACATTTAAGTGGAGCAACACTTTATCCGAGAGAGTTGCATCTCAAGAAGTGGTTACAAAGACCAAGTTGGTAACACATTTATTCTAGTTGGGAATGTAGAGATAGTTGTTAGTTGTTAATGTGTGTGGTCCCACTAATATCTTTATATTTATTTCATGGTAGTTATGGTAGTTAGGCTAGACATATTTGTTTTATATTTATTTCTGTTTCAGTAGGGGTATTTGTGTAACTCCACTGATGTTAAGTTACGAGCATATAAATACTAATCTGATGGGGCGGCAAGTTCATCCAACCGCACCCTTCTCTTTTCTTCCTCTTCTTCTCTTCTCTCTTTTCTTCTTCTGTTCGTGATCTTCTTTTCTACTGAACTTATATCAAGGAAACAAACAGTTTCTGGTTTCTTTTATCCAAGTTTAATGTTACCTTGTCAACTGAGGAAAAAAACTGGTGGGAGAAGATCTAGAGCAATGAGTCTCTGCTGATTTCATTAACAGGTATGAGTTGTTGGACTTGTCACTGTAGGGTGCCAAATTTACCTGGACAAATGACCAGGACTCTCCTACTGGTAAGACTAGGTAGATTCCTGGTTTCCTCAGGCTGGGACGAGTTTTTTCCTTCTTTTAAACAAACTGCTTTTCCAAGACCCGTTTCTAATCATTGTCCCATTCAGTTATTATGTGGCTCTCAAGAAAGAAGCAGAACACCTTTTAAATGTGAGAGTGCTTGGTTTGAGGAAGAAAGCTTTCTCTCTATGATAGCCAAGGTGTGGCCGGATTGTCATGACTGTTTCCAGCTCCTTTATCTTAGCAAACAAGTTGAAGACAATTAAAGAAAAAGCTAAAATCTAGAGGTTGGAGAATAACATGTCTATGGAGAGGGAAAAAAGGGCCTGTTTGAGTGTGATTGAAGAAATTGATAGGGCTGAAGAAGTTGGTCTCCTAACTCAAGAACAAGGATCAAAAAGGTGCCAAGCCAAATCATAATTTGATACATTAGCAGTGAGAGATGAAATTAGATGGAGACAGAGAGCCAAAACAACCTGGCTGAAGGTAGGGGATAAAAACACTAGTTTCTTTCATAAGATGGCTAATGCTCAAAACAGAGTTAAAGAAATCAGCAAGTTGGAGTGGGAGGGGAGTGGGAGAGTCAGTTGCTGAAATCAAATTTATCGCTTACTCTTTCTACAAGCAGCTTTATGAGGAACCTTGGGCCAATAGACCACTTCCTCTCCATACCCCCTTCGAAAGACTCACAGTCACTTAAGATCAGAAAGCTCATCTTGAAAGGCCTTTCACTGAGGATGAAGTTAAGGAGGTGATTACTAAAATGGAAAATGAGAAATCTCCTAGTCCAGATGGGTGGACAATTCTGTTTTACATAAAATGTTGGGACTTTATTAAGGAGGACATTATGAATGTGTTTCAGACTTTTCATAGTAGCGCTTCGTTGCAAAGAAGCCTCCACCTTTATTGCCCCCATCCCTAAAGTAGCCGGGGCTGTTAAAAGTTTTGGCAAAAAGGTTGAAAAAGGTTTTGCCCTTTGTGATTTCTGAGAACCAAGGTGCTTTTGTCCCATGAAGGCAAATGTTGGACAGTGTCCTGATTGCAAATGAGCTAATTGACTCTAGGAAGAGGGATGGCAAGCTTGGCTTGGTATGCAAGTTGGATACTGAGAAAGCTTATGACCATGTAAACTGGAGATGCCTGGATTTTATCCTTGGGAGAATGAATTTTGGCCACAAATGGAAGAACTGGATGAAAGTGTGTGTATCTTCCCCTAAATTTTCAATTTTAATCAATGGGAAAGTGTCGGACTTCTTTGGTTCTAGAGGGATTAGGCAAGGGGATCCTCTCTCCCTCTTTGCTTTTATCTGTCTCATGGAAGGTTGGTTTTACTCGGTTCAAAGGCATGTGGGATGGTTTTGAAATCTCCTCAGGTGGGGAGAAGGTTCATCTTTTCCAGTTTGCTGATGGCACTTTATGTTTCATTGATGCCTCGACAGAGCACCTTGAATCTATGCTGGACATCCTTTGTTGGTTTGAGGTTGTGTCTGGGCTTAAAGTTAACCTAGGAAAATGTGTGATTTTCCCTATTGGTCAAGTGGTGAATCTGGGGAGTTAGTTGAGATTCTGGCTTGTCAGGTAAACCATCTCCCAATGAGATTTTTGGGGCTCCCTCTTGGGGCTAAATGTACCTCCTCTACTATCTGGGATCCTGTTATTGAGAGAATGGAGAAGAAGCTGGCTTCCTAGAAGTCTAAATACCTCTCTGCAGGGGGTAGATTGACTCTATTAAAAAGTACCCTATCCAACCTCCCTACCTATATGTTTTTCCCTCTTTCCCATCCCCTCCAAGGTTTCCAAGAAGTTAGAATATCTTCAAAGTTGTTTTTTTTTTTTTTTTTTTTTGTGTGTGTGTGTGTGGAGGGGTTGGGAAGAGGATAAGAAAATTCACCTGGTTAACTGGGATCAGATCTGTTTGCCTGTAAAAGAAGTAGGCCTGGGAGTGAGAAAACTAAAGACTTTTATTTCTCTCTTAAGTAAGTGGACTTGGAGGTTTGGCTCTGAAAGAGATGCTTGGTGGAGGTCTCTTTTAGCTGCTAAATTTGGTGTGGACTGGGGTAACTGGAAATCCTTGGATTCTCTTCAGGATTGGGGCTGTTCCCTGTGGAAGGGTATTATGAAAGGTTTCCCCTCTTTTTCAGAAGGTCTGGAGTATAAAGTTGGAGATGGTAAGAGGCTGAAATTCTGGAAGGACCCTTGGTGCTTGATTACCCATCTGGCCGAGGTTTTTCCTAACGTCTCTCAGTGTGCCTCATTCCCTGATACCTCAGTTTCTGACTCCTTTGAGTGGGTGGATGGTTCAGCTGTTTGGTGTCCCCTCTTTAGACGGAACCTCCAAGACTGGGAATTGGAGCAGCTGCTGGAGTTATTACAGCTGTTGAAAAATCAGCCTATTTCTGCAAATGTGGAACAGTGGAAGATGAGTGGAGATGGTCGTTTTTCAGTTAAATCTGTTGCTGATAAGCCAAGTCAAGGTTCTATTATGGGTTTCCCCATTAAGCAGGTTTGGGTTCCTACTAGTCCCTCTAAGGCTAATTTTCCTGTCTGGGTGCTGGCTTTAGACAAGTGCCTGTCAAAAACTAATCTGATTAGGTGCGCAGTTCAGATTCCTGATATGAACTGTGGCTTGGTTCATGAATCTGGTGGTCATCTCTGCATTCATTGCCCTGTGTCTGCTAAGCTGTGGGAGCACTTCATCAAGTCGGCTGGCACTAGCTGGGTTATGTCTCAATGTCGAGGAGGTGCTGTGTAGTTGGAAGATTTCTGGTCTGAGTAAGAAAGGAAGCTGGTTAGGAAATCAATTCCTGCAGTTATCCTCGTCTCTTTGTGGTCTGAAAGGAATAGTCGAGTTTTCTGCAACAAAACTAGAGTTCCTGATGACCTGCTTAAGACTGCTGTCAACAGACTTGCTTCCTGGTTATCTGTTGTTTCAGAATTTAAAAACCAGAATGTTTTTCAGTTTCTTGAATCTCACTCAATTTAGGCTTTGTAAGATGGTGGTCTTCCTGGTGATTTTCCACTAGGTTGCTGTTGTAATTTTTCCTCTCTCATCAATAAAATTTTACATACCTTCTCAAAAAAAAATGACAAGTACTGGACACTGAATACGTCTAATCCAGAGCATACTTTGTATAATAAACACTGGAATGGCTGCATTATCCCTCCATGTGGTTGAAATACGAGAGGTCGTGAGCCTGCTAAGAAAACTTTGCAAACCAAGCACAAAGCATGCTAACCATATAAAAGTCTCTGGATCCACTAGTCAATTTTACTTATATTATTCTAAAAATTTTTTGGTTTGCAACTACTGTGCTTAAACCTTTTAATTTAAATATTTATGATGGATATTAGTTTAGTGAATGCTTACTAAGTTTGGTTAAGTGTATGAGTTTACATGTTATTTCCACTTTTGTGTTAAATGCACGTACGGTGACATATATATGCTATTTACTACGGGAAACCTATGTTCACAAATCATATGTCCTGCTAAAGAATTAGCAAAAAAAGTCACTGATGTATCAGATTGAACTTCAGCTTTCAGAATTTGTCTTGCATGATTTTTACATTTGGGAAGTTAGCAATATCTTCATTATTACTTCAAAAAGGAAAAGGCTGGAAAATCTTCCTGTATATTCTCTGCCAAAATAGATATTACTATCCATCAGTCTTTTTAACTGTAATTGTGGTCCAAAAATTGCACTACAGTAAATGAAGGAATGAGTCGGAGGGCAATACATAAGGCCGTGTTTGAATCTGCAGCACTCATAGGAGCCAGCGTTCTCCAAGTCTACCTCCTCCGTCGCTTATTTGAACGGAAGCTTGGCACATCTAGAGTTTAGATTCAGAAGTAGGCCATTTATTGGTTATAAAATTTAAAGGTTTTTCCTACACAGGTAATTTTATTCTCTTTCTAGAAAAAAATGGATATAAAAAAGTTGTGTAGCTTATTCCTTAATGGAGTTTCCCATCAGGAAGAGACATGTACAATGGCTAATTTCTCATGGGGCTTTACTTGGTTGGAATGATTTAATCATAAAAAGCTTGTACCTTTGAATTTCTGATGTTGTGGATCTCTATTCTTGGAGTTATTCCTCATTCTATATGCTTTTGAAGTAAATAAAACTGGGAATAAAGATGCAGACCACGAACCTTGGATCTGGGGACACAGGATCGTAGCCAGATCTTGGCCTTTAATAACTTGCCAGAGATGTCATGTTGCAAGAAGTGGTACCACAATCTCATTGAATCCTTATTAAAACATTAATTCTGCCAAACATCATTATATTCATACATATAATAGGGCACGGTTGTCAAACATCTACCCTTTTAGGTAGGGCCATCATTTTGCTTCCAAGTAAGGTTTGTTAGTTATTCTCTTTCAAGGCTTCAAAAAAAGTTATTTTGTTTTAGAAGAAACTGCACAATAACGCCTTCCCCTTCTTACTTTCAAAATGACAAAATATGTTCTACTCTCTCATAATGTTGTATTTATTCCCTTCGGTATTCCCTCTCCAATGCTCCACGTACGATTTGTGTGTGTGCATGCGTGTGTGTGTGTGAGAGAGAGAGAGCTCCTGGACCCATTCCCACACCAAGAAGTGAGTTGCTGATCGTGTGGCTTGTGTCTTTGATCTTAAGAGGTCAGATCAGCTACCAACACATGGTGCTTACAACATAGCAATCAACCATTCTTACCATGCATCGGGAAATCTCTCCATGAATGCTAAGGGAGATGTTCACAATGTGTGGCTGCAGTGGACTGTTGTGACAGTATTGGGAGTGTTTTGTTGGTAGTAGATCCTTACCTTAATTTTAGGTTCCATTTGATTTGCAGAAATAGGGGTTTGGAATCGAAAATAAATTCCAACTGTTCGATTAAGTGGAATTAAAATTCGGTAGAATGTCATATCATTTACCAATCCCTCCCCTTTCTTTGGGAACGCAAATTAATAGACCAATTCCAAGAGATTTTGATTAATTTTGACTGTAAACCAAACAAACTATTAGATCCGGGGCAAGTACATAAGATAAAATTAGAAGTTAGAATTTGCCAAATGTTTTAAATATAGGAGCCACCAGTAGATGCATATGACCTAAACATTACAATTTGATGATTTGTATCCACCTCATTTACGCATTATTTCATATCTGTGAACTCTTATACTTGCAAGACAAATTCTGACAACTTTCCACTTTAAAACATTAAAACACCATGGAGCCCCGGGCCCCCTTGGCCTTTGTTTCACCAAAAAAATAGGTTAAAAAAAATCCAATCTTTACATGTAGAATCCAAATTGAATTCGACGCCTAACAAGTCTATTACACTGTTGTCCACCCTTTGTCATGTCCAAACTCGGCGTATACTGATTTGGTTCTACCTATATTATCAGAATTAAGATGATTTTGATAAGGATTAGAAATGGATATACCCACTGGCTTGTACCATTTTTTTTTTTCATATAATACGTATTTTCTAGAGTCACCTTTAAAACTAAAAACCGAGTTACTTTGTGCGGGTTGGACCTTGGAAATGCCTCCTCTTCAATGCAAGCTTGGCAGTTGCAGCTTTAGCGCCAGGTCGACGGAACCCCCGTTTGGGATAATCTCATTCTTTCAGACCTTGTGGATTTCAGGTTATACCGTTATAGTCAGGCGTAGGCCCAAACCCCTATACTGGGTACCGTAACAAAGGCATTATTAGGGATGAAAGGAACCGGTTTTTCTGGGATAAATTGCGGCTTGGATTTTGTTGAAATGAAAGAACATCATTGTTCAAAGGTGAAATTCTGTACCTGTTGTAACAATTCCGCAAACCACATACTTTGGCTCTTAGAACCAGTAATGGTCCAGGATTACTCTGATTTTTTTAACCCCTCCAAATCCCAGATGGGCCCGAGCATATTGGACATATATCTTTGGGAAGGAAAGGAATTTAAACCAGCAAAAGGGCCCGAGCATGCCCAGAACCGATACAATATAGGAGGAACAAAGCTACTTCAATAATACAGCAAATAAAGATGAAATGTCACATAAGAAAAGCAACAGCTCCAATAACAAAAGAGAAATAATATAGGAGAAAGGGCACATAACTCAACTTCTAATAATGCCCAGCAAACCAGTATATATAAAATACAACAAAGCTTTTGTCCACTTCCCATTTTCCCTTCCCCAGTCCATCACTTTCATCAACCCAGTTCTATAGCACACCAAACACTTTCCGGCAGGATCCCTTGCAGCTTTTTTGTTCTAACTACAATTCCAGCATTTTGGAAAATATAGGGAAAAGCCGGAGATAGATGAACTTGTTCTTCTACTTTGCTCTTACCAGATAACTGTCAAGACTCTGCATAGGCGGGTTGGACACAGCAAAACCATTTTTTCTGCAAAAAAAAAAAAAACATAGTGCATTCTCCACATCAAACACAAAAGCATAAAAACACGCTGCAGGTCAATTTCCCATTGTCCATTTTTCTTTGTCCACAGTTCGGGTAATTAAGAAAGCTAAATCTTAGCCACTAGACAAATTTTATCTTCCTATGCATTTAGGAGCATTTTGGTTGACTTGAATCATCTAGCAAGTAACATTCCTTTTCAAAATTACTGAACCATTTTGACATCTCCCATCTTAAGAATGAACAGGCTGGGTGGTGGTTCAGGTCAATAGATTAGCTTGATATTATTCTATGGCTACCCAAAAGATGGCAGCCTTAAAATTGCATATACCTGATAAATGAGATGCTCCAATAAAGACTTCGTAAAGGCCATTTTAGAAATTTGCCTTTCATAACTATTTTTTAGTTTTTTTTTTTTTTTTGGGGGGGGGGGGGATGCAAGCACAGATTAAAGGTGCAAGGATAGACATGAAATAACAAAATATAGAGCAGATACAATATACCTCCCAAAAAAGTAGCTAGCTTAGACTTAGAAGATATGGTTCCCAAATATGGATACTGGTAAGTGTGTTAGAATCTGACATGGTTATGAGGTGTCAGACTCATGTTAGATTATGAGCACATAAATAATTTCTTACCACTTAAACTCATGTTCTTTTTGGTCTGGCCCCTAGCCTCCCCTTCAACTTACAACAGATCACTTTGTAAGGGTTGTCTCTCACCCTCACCTAATGGAGCTACTCCTAGGTTCCTTCAAATGACTTCATTTCCGACCCTATCCTTTCTAGTTTTTCCACTCATCCATCTCAGCATACACATTTCTTCCAACAATGGGATAATTATAGAAAAGAAAAAAAATTAATAAATATAGATGCATAAATCAGTGCAAACAACACTAATCTACCATTCACGTCCAAATTTTACCCTAACAGTTTGAGGTTTGTCCTTTAGATACATATTACAAATTTTCCAAAAGAAGAATCTCCTCAAGTGTCATGTCAGTGTCAGCATCCAGGTGTGTCTGGCATGCATACAGTACCCATTTTGAAGTGTTGGTGTCCATGTGACAAAGCCCTGGATAGGAAATATAGATACAACTCTCCAACTCATAAGATCTTGAAACAGGCAAGGGTATGGGTGTTTTGTAGCTGAGTGTCATGTCTAAAGACTTGGATGTGCCACCTCTAACTAATCTTAATATATACAGATTTTTTATAGTATATAATATGTCAAAAAGATATCATTTTACATATTTTTAAGTGTTAATGCCATATAGTATATAGATTATATCTTGATGTGTCTATGCAGCATTTGTTGCCTTATCAAGGTACATACATGTATTCCTACCAAAAAATAATATGTGCATACATGTTTTCCTACCAAAAAATAAAAGGTACATACATGTCTAACACTGGTATATTAGGCATCTATTGGACTATAGCCAGGTATCATGGTCTAGAAGAAACCCAACTCCATACTTAACTGCATGCAAGCCCGACCAGTATTGGAATCAGGAGAGATTCAAGAAACAGCATTCCATGTCAGATAAAACAACAATTGACTCAAATTAGATGATATTGTAATCAAAGTAAAGTTTCTAATGCCACTGAACAAATGTTTCAAATCATCCTAGTTCTCCAACGGATTTGATGGCTTGGTCACCCAACTGGATTTGTTTTTTATGATATCTGAACACTGATGCTTAGAACCAGATACACTGATTCTTTTCCAACTAATGTTGCCATTTCCATATCAATCCAAATATTAGGATAATCTGGATATTTAAAATCATTCAATCAGTGTTTTATTTTCTTTTTTTTTTGGAAAAGAGGCCTATCTATCCTGAGGCCACATCATGTGGAAGTAAAATATTGACAAGGCATAATTTAAATGCTCCCTCAATAGTAAAATATCACTTCAATCAATTCAAAGTGGCAACTGCAGAGGAAAGGAAAAGAGCAACTTACACCCTGAGGCTTGACAGGATCTGTTCCATGTTTAAAGGTGGAATCATCCTTTGCTGGTGAGTCAGGCTTGCCACCTGTCTTCTTCTCATCCCTTGCCTTGTTGAATATCACAGTGAATCCCTCAGCTGAAGCAGGATCATTGACATCCCATTCACCAAACTTTGGCAACGGCCGACCCTTCTCCTGTTCAAAATCCAGAAACAATAATAAGGCCCTTTAACTTCACTAAGAAACACTCAGAACCTAATCTAAAAGATAACTGAATATCAAGTAGACAAAGAAACAAATGATATCTTCAAGACTTCAACATGATCAATTGCATTATCTCATAATGAACAAAGAATGGTGAAAATCAAAAACAAAAAATGATGCCATGGTTAGAATCATCAAATCATGTTCATCATAGTTTTCAAGGTGTCAGGGCAAGGCTAGGCGACAGGGACGTGCCTTGTCACCTAGCCGCAATGCCTAGGCAATGGATTTTTTTAAGTACAAACCACATATCCTAGGGTAGTTCCCTAGGTTCCATAACCATCTTTCCTTAATAACTATCCATAATTTTCATAAGAAAATTATAAACTTCATGTTTAAGTCTAGAAAACCAACATATTTATGAGAAGAAAAAGAAGAAAAGAAAATTCAAAAAAATATATAGGGGCTGAACCCCTATTTTTGTTATAGGAAAATAAGAAAAGAAAAGGTGGAATGTGTTGATTAGACAAAATTTTAAGTTCTTCCCTTATTGGTTCAGATTTTGAAGTCTTTGAGGGTTCAATACAGCAGTTAGCAATGTTTGTGTTGATTAAACCCTAACAAATAAGAAAAAAGTAAAAGAAATGAGTTCATAAACACAAAAAATGAATATTTTTGTTTAATAATGTCTATTTTATAATTATAATCTCAAAAAAATAACAATATAAAAGTATTTTATAAGACAGTATAGAAAACTGCTTGGTGACTGGGTGAGGCAAGCCTCCAAGGGCACCTTGTCGCCTAGGCGTCACCTTGACAACTATGGTGTTCATTTTTTTTTATGAATGACAACTATGATGTTCATTCAAGGAAAGGGATATCTGATCTTGGGTATGAAATCAACTATGCAGTTGTCGCCCACACACAACATGGACGCTAGAGCACAATAAAAGTGACTCCCCAATTTATCATAAATAAAGAAAAAAGAAAACTCAGTACAAGTCGGCATATATTACATGTCCACAAAATAGGTCTAGTGTTTACTGGTTATCTAGCAAAACAAGGGGCATTGAGACAACAACCATTTTGGGCTGCTTTGTAATGAGGGACAGAAAAGAGTGATTAAATGGGATCATCAATCCCAGCACCATGTTGTATAAACTATTCCCAATCTGGAATTTAAATAAAACTCATGCTACTGATCAAAAGAAAAGGTCTATTGCTAGCATTAAATGGCAACAAGTACAGCTTCTTGTAATCAGCAGAGCTTGGAAGCAGGTAAAGCATGTAGCTGGAACCACGGCTGAACAGTTGTAAAAATTACCATTCCAAACATAGTTTACCTTTGTAGTTAACAAAGCTTAAAAAGAATACATGATGCAACATTCTCCTAGTACTAAAAATAACATGGCAAATGAGAAAATCAATGTCCACATAAAAAAGTAAATATTTCTTTTGTAACATCAGGATCACCATCATAGGCAACTAATGCTGCTAATACTCATTCAAATAAAAGTTCAAACTGAACAAGAATAGTACTAGTGCAACCCTGGATTGTGTCACGGAGTATTGGGACCTACCAACATAAATCTCCAAACAGAAACAGAAGAACAAGTAGTAAATATGTATCATATGGTATTTCATCCAGAAGATGTTCAGTACAATTGGCACCTCTTATGTATGAGAAAGAAGAGAGAGAAAATAGGATCCTTTTCAAATTTTCTCTTTCTTGATATTTGTTTCCATATTTGCACTTCATTTAAAGTCTCCAAGGATCCATTTGGTTATCAAGAAATGGCAGAGGAAAAGGGTATATTCCCATTAGATTTATTTTTTTGGTGTTTGTTTTGTAAACGGGAAGGGAAACACTGGGATTTCAAATCCCAAAATGAACGACATGGGGTCTCACTAAAACAGTGCGACCCCAATCAAAATTAAAAATGAGCAGTAACTGAGAACTTTTCTCACACACATGCCTGCATGACCAATGTCTTTAACCCTTCATTCACTCAGCCAGTCAGACTGGTGACCTGATGACCTGATCATGGCTCCAAATTTGGTTTGACTGTCCGATTCAAATGGGTCAACCAGTGATGCCATAAATCAAATCAAAATTAAAAAGGTAGAAAATGTATTTTATCATCAGCATCCAAGCCTTATCCCAACTCTATGGGGTTGGCTAGACAAATCCTGTTTCACCATACTGTTCTGTTTAATGACTTGTTATTATATTACTTGGCACTTTAGTCATAAAAGGTAAAAAATTTGCAAAAACAGGCATGTCTCTAATATTATATATTCATCGATATTAAACAAAATTGAGTGTTGATAAATGAGAAGTGTTGTCAATAATAATGGAATTGGCTAAAAATCTAAAAATCACAGAAAAAGAGATTTAATTTCTAACTTATGACCTGCTGACCAAGCTAAACAGATTAGCAGTTGAATCGGCCAGCCAATGATGGATTAAAAACATTGGCCTTGACATCATGGATTGCTTTATTTGACCCCAAATGTTTGAACCAGTGATCCATTCACCCGGAGAGAAAACCAATTAAGTTATTTGGTTGGTTTTTAAAACAATGCATGTGATCACAACAAATACCACATGTCTCCTCAGTTTTTCCATGCAGATGCTAGAAAGGGTGCATTTTTTTTTTATAATTTAGAAAGGGTGCAATTTCCATGTGTAAATTATTTATTATACCAATTAATATGTAAAAGATGGACCGAGTTATATTATCAATCTAATTTTCTCAGCAAACAAACATTGGAAAATAAAGTTTCTCATATGTAAGTTCTGAGTAACCAAACACCCAAACACGGGATGCCAAAATGAGAAAATAAATTTTCTTTTCCCATCCCATCCTTTATAAAACCAATTTTCTTGACGAATAAATGGACCCTAAAGAGCCACTGCTTCACATATTCTTAATATCTTATAATCACAATATGTAATTAATCATAAGTAAGGGCAAGTTGCAGTCTTCTCCCACCAATTCCAAGCTCTTCACATTCTTAGTTTGCTGCTTGATTGCAGTATGTAACTATACAAATAAGGACTAATTACATCCTCGTCCACCATTTCCATCTTGATTATCAATTTGCCACCTTATATAACTGGATCTAAATTCTACTCCTTCAAGAAACAGCCTGGGGAAAATTATGCTATCCAGGCCACCAATGAGAAACATCAAGCAATTGCAGAAGTGTATAAACTTAGTTGCAATCCTACTGCATTTATGTTCTCAGCTCCACCTATGCCCTTTACGATGTGTAAATAGAAATCTTGCCTCCAAGTCATTTTATGTAAGGCCTCAGACATCAATTATACTAGTTCCTGCATTGAGAAACCTTTACCAAATACCCACCTATCCAACCAACCAGAAGGATAAAATCATCATACAAACCAACAAGTTTTAATATAAAATTATTTATACCCTTTTTTACTTCTGCGTTAACCACTCAAACAGAACCATGATAAGCAAGACAAATGCAAAGAATGATCATCTTACTAAAGTCCAATTCAGAGAAGTGGATTAATGTTTGTATGTTCCAATAATTTTCCATGTAAATCTAGAAGTTGTTATATCATCCATTTACAGCTTGACCTTATCTTACCATCCTTGGTAATGATTATTCTTTTCTCTTAAGGAGCATTAACATGCACCAGGACCTTTCTTGCCTGGTATCCTCATAAAGAGTTCATCAAGTTTGAGGAGTTATGTATATACCATGCACACATCTCTCCACAGTCCACACTCTTGCACACTCTCTAAGTGCTAACCAAGATTTTGCATTTTCAAACCACTGTCAAATACATAAGCCCTTCAAAACATTTTCATGCCAAGCGATCGGGAGAACACCCATTTTTCCAATACTCAAAGCCACAAAATCTCATTGAGATCATAAAATAAGACTATTTGTTTGCAGTGAAAATCATAAGCCGATACAAATTTTGCATCCATTTGTTTCTAACTATGATTTATGCTCCTACCTTATACAAAGTTTCCACTTTTTTGTCTCATTGACCATGCAAATTTTGAAACAAAAAACCGACGCAAAATTCACACCAACTTCCTTATACCTCAATTCTCTCTCATATAAAGTGGGGACCATATCATCTTGCTTCCTACCTCACTCCCAAACAAATAACCCTCCTCCTATCTTGGTTTTTTTCATATAAAGTGGGAACCACTTCATTTTACTTCTCACAAACAAATAAGTCAAAAATGAAGCACAAGTAAACAAGAATTTACACTTCAGCCTATTTGCACTCCCATGCATTTATGCCAGTGCAAATGAAATTCGCACTGCAAACAAACTGAACCTACAGGACATTACACATGCTTAAACTGGAGTACACACACATCTCATGTTGTTTCCTTCAAATTCCACAAAATAAAACACGTTACAAACATTGAAATCCATAAAATGGTGAAGGAACCATCCTTCCCTTTCTTGGGGGGTGGGGGGGGTCCTGAGTTTCATATGTAGACGGGCAAAAAACGAAGCAGGCTTGTCGACCAGAAAACAAAAAGAAAGGTACAAAAGACTAAAGGAAAAGGATTCGAGCTTCAAAGAGAACATAAGAAATAAAAGGGAAGGAAATGAACAAAAAGAGAAGAACATAAACAAGAAGCTACATTAAAAACAAATTATAGACATAAAATTAAACACGAGCAAGAAAAAAAGACAAAAAACAAACGCGAACTAAACTCCAACTAACTATTTTAATTTTCACTTAACTTACTAAAGTGACATAGAAACGCAGATTTTCCCCAAAATAATACAAAATAGACACTAGGAAAATCATACTCTGCCTCAATGGATCAATTTACAAAGAAAACCGTAGCAATCAAAAACAGATGAAAGTCTTGATGAGAACCAAATCAAATTTAAATGACCTACAAAAGCTAAGCAATTTCGATAGAAGCCATCAATCATTCACAGAAAACCTAAAACAGCACCGTAATCGAAATTAATAGTTCCCAATCCATCGAATCTCGAATCGAATCGAAAAAAGGGAAAAGGAAAGGAAAACCATCAAAAAGTCAAGAGATTCCTAGGGTTTTCAGGAGAAATTCCAATCCTTACCGACATGAATTCCGATATTGATCCCTCAAAAATCGCTTCGCCTGGAAATAGGAGGAGAAGAAATATAAAGTGAGAACAGAGAAGGAGATGTATTTATATTTTACATAGGCCGAGACTCGAGAGTCGAGAGGTGGGGCTGTGGGCCGCTTATATGAATTGGGCCCAGCAGTGTGTGCTGGGTATGATTCAGAAAACTTTGGCTGTCTGAAATTCGTCAGCCTGGACTGTCAAAACAATTGTCCCTGCGTGACACGTTAAGATCGCTAATACAGTCCGGGATCTGTTTCTCACACATGGGCGCTTCACATGCACATCCAACATGCATTGGGAATATCTCCTGTGAAATCGGTGTGAGGAGCAGATCCAGTCTCGTTAATAATAATATCTCACAAGACATTATATAGAATGAAATTGATACAAGAACCAACGCAAACGTGGCGCAGACGGAATGGAGAGGAATAGGATCACACATAGGCGCCTCACAGGAAAATCCACCGTGCATTAAGAATATCTTCTGTAAATAATAATTTATAAATACGAGAAATATTCCCAACACATGATGGGATGTGCAAAAAAAGTCGGTGTGAAGCGCCCTGTATGAAAAAAAGATCCGGATAATTCTCTTGATTCTTGACAGCCCAGGCTATTGAATTTTAGACCGTCCATCCCTTACCATTGACTACGATAGTGTCGTAGTGCAGGGTTAAAAGTTAAAACGAAGAATCAAGACCTTAGATTGATTGCTGTGGAGTCACTTCATCTAATTTAAAGTGGGGCCCATTTCAATACATGAATGGCTATGAGCCTATGTATATGACACTGGCCCTGGCAAAAGTGGTTTGATTTGGATGTTGGAAACTTGGAACAACGACGCATGGACGCATGGTTACCGGTTGGCTGCGCCAACGGAAAAAACGATTGTTGACCTCTGCGGTGCGGGCCAACTGAAACTTGAATGATAATGATTGTATCGACCAATCATAGAGAGGAAGATGCCAATCCGACGGTAGACTGTGTGCCTACGATTACGAATCTTCCATTTTTATTGCTGGGCACATTCGTACCTTCTGTGAGATGTTTTTTGGATTGATACAATCTACTGATTTGATATTTTTCGATAAATACAATATATTGATTTGATTCAAACGCAGGAATCCGACGGTCCAGAATTCGTATCATGCGTTGTGTTAAAGAAGGCAAAAAAAACTACGGAGAAGTATGGATAGGCCTGTTGCAAAATTCTGATTTCCACAGTAGATCTATTCAAAAGGTCAATTATTGCCACCGTATGCATCAATGGTGAATTGGCATTAATTTCGAGCTGACACATACCCCATACCCCTTATTGCATTTTGTGCCTATAAATTCTGACCTTGGGCTGAACCCTCGTTCTCCCAAAAAAATTATACATTTCGGGAGGTGTTCTATCACTCTAAATCACTGACCCACAAAATCTTCTCACTCTAGTGGAGAAGGATTTATAGGTGTGAGAAAGGATTCTGTGGGGAGAAAATCTGAATTCAGTGCTAAACAAATGAGAAGAATTTACATTGGCGCCCCACATGCATATTTCAGCATATAGTAGGAATATCTGCTTTGATTGTCATTTGGGAAATGTTAGTAGGGATGTACTATGAGGTGCATGTTGGGTGTAGATGCCAATTCAAATGAAAAAGCGTTAATTTCCAAGAAGAACGATGATAGAATGGCTATAGGCCTTGCTTTGATCTTAGAATATCCAATGGCCATGTGACATTTAAAGACCCATGATTTAGTTAATCTATCTATTTTTCTTCTAGCCATGCAAAGGGATGATGATGATGTTACTACTCTAAAACAAGCCACTTCATTAATGCATCATTTACAGTATTTGAATTGAATTTCTTTCTGGCCGTTGAATTGGGTTAGAAGACTTGTTTTCCAACTTTTATTCTATTGTACTCTAGTTGTATCATGTAGGACACTTGGGTTTCAAGGAGGAAGGAATGTTTTGTTGAGAGTCTTCGCGATTCCCTTGGCGTTGAAACAGGCTCTGCTCAGACCTGCTCATGATTGGTGTATGGCTGTTCTGCGTCTTATCCYTCAAGATGGGACGAAAGATCTATCTGCACCGCTTGAGCGGCTTAGGGCAACATTAGGTGCTTTTCAAAAAGAAACTAGTTATTCCTATTTGACCACAAACCAATCGATCTAGCCATGGGCAGGTTGAGGAGAGCTCTAACAAGCCTTGGAGGATTGAATCCACGTATGTGGCAAAATACCAGGATGACTTGTGGCTAGGGGTGAAAGGCCAACCAAGATCGGATATAGCTGGTTTTCCGCGAAATCTATTTCAGTAGAGCGTATGATGTCGATGGCCCGAGGTAGAGCACTCAATGGGCTAGGGTGGCCCCCATTTCGTTTTCATTTGTACAGATAGACTTTTTGGGTGATTAGATCCAAAATCAAGAGGGAAACAACACAGATCATACGCTAAGATCGTGAAAAAGGAAGTGATTGGTGGTGGGCTTGGAAGCATCCATCCTTTGAAGAAAGCATAATAGCTCACTTGGCGGGCAATCTTTGGCTATGGGTATTTTCACATAGGCTCAAACATGATTTGAAGGGCGCCATGCGTTCAATACCAAAAAAGCCTCTGGAAAGCTGCAGGGATGACAAAAAGAGGGTGATTTCTTGTGTTGCACTAAAAAGGACCTAAGAAGATAAGAGCGTCTTCTCCTAGGTTTCTTCCTCCATGCCCGCCTGCCCGGCCCACGAGGGGGGAAGATTAGAAAAGTGGGAAAAGACAAAGGGAGCCATCTTATTCTCCTCGTGAGAACTTCCAGTCGGAGAAGCATTCGGAATGGGCTCCGCGTTCATTTCGTTATCAGAAACAATCCCATCTATTTAGGGCTTCAGGGAACCCAGAAATGAACTCTTTTGACTTGATTCATAGATRGAATCAATGGATAGATAGACAAGAGATAGATGAACGAGATATCTTTTTTTTTTTTTCTCTCTAAAAATAATAGGAATAGAATAGACATCCCTTTAGATGTCTATGTACCTTATCATCTCCCAATTTTCTTGCTATATCGTTATATCTGCTCTCTCTAAAAAAAATGAGAGAGAAAGAGCAGATGGATCCTATCCCCTATATCGAACACTCGTTCCTATCGCTGCTATCTTTCTTTCCTCTCAGTGATCTGTAAAATATTATCTAGTCAACCTTGATATCCCATCAAGGGAAGCAGCTGACAAGAGGTAAAGAGGAACACAAGGAGGAAGGATGGGATGAATGCTTCTCTTCTGATACCGGTGCCAATCTATAGATCCGTAGAGAGCCAGTCGATACTAAGAAATTTTCGAAAGGAAAGCGGCCAGGTGGGTCAATATCAATTGGTGAGAGTGCTGCTACGAACAATGACCCTACTATACAACTCTAACTCTTCTCTTCTCTTGTAATTCCTGCTAACCGGTGAATCTATAGGGGAGCCAGGGCTTCCTACTTTCCTATAAGAACCCACGGTAGCCCGGATTCGTTCCTATCTTCTCAGCCTAGGTGAGGGGAGGGCAAGATGTTCCTATTAACTTATCTGGATTGCTCTCGGAAGAGAGTAGAGCGTTGAGAGCGGTATCTGGATCTTTTCTATTAAATGGAGACAATCAGTCGAATGATATGACTCCTTCTGGAAGTCGTGACCCGAAGAAAGCTTTTTTTTTCCCTTCCAAGTTCCAACTAGTGAAGATCTCGAAGGTTACGAAAGGCTATCTTATGCTCCTATTTTTGGCGAGCGATGTGTCTAATCCGTTTACCGAACAATCTGGATGAAGGGACGATGGATCAACATATCTTGTATTAAATACACTTCAATAGGAGCGGTTTTTCTTCCTTAATTCCGGATCTAAGCCCAAGGCCAGGAAGAAAACAGCTACTGAAAACCTTCTTTCTGCTAGCGAGAAGAGGGGCGGTTTAGAGCAGCCAGCCCTTCGTCGAGTATCCCCACCTCTCCCTCACCCGTGTCAGATGCAGTATATCAAAAAGGAAAAGAGCAGGCAAGTTCGAGTCCCGATCTCCTACTACTACTTTTTCGACTACCTCTCACGCCACAGAAGTGATTCCCTTTTTTGGTATGGCCACGAGTGACCTGGGTGGAGGAGACTGCTAAAGAGTCTTCGACCAGTTGGGGTTCTACCCAGCAAAAGCACCAAAGGCTCTGGTTTACCCAGTTGCTCATTCAGTTGATCCATTCGTAGTTGCATCAGTTCAAGTTCCGGATTCAAATCCATATCCTAATTATTGAATCATATATCAAATTGATCACCTTACAACGCTTGTTGCTGAATAAACTTTTGTCTTGGCATTTTGTTTTCTACGAAATAATGTATTTTGGAAAGACAGAAAACAAACATCTCCCGTTTCTTAGACCCTAAGGCCGTGTTCCGTTTGATAGAACATGAAAGAGAAACAAAACTTTTCTTCAACTTTCTATTTTTGTCAAACAAAATATAAGCTCAAGACATTTGACAAGCCTTCGAACTCTCTAGCAGCAGCATTTGGGAGTTTAGGTTGCATTTGGCATTTTAACTGAGGGGCATTTTAACTGTAAGAAGGAGATAAATCCTTAAAATACCTTATAGTCAGTCTTCAAACAGGTTTTTGGAGGCACCCTTGGATTGAAATGAACTAGATGGGACGAGGTTGCCCCAAAAGGATCATTAACTGAGGCTAAAAATCTATTCCCCTCTGTGGACCCATTAGGCTTTGCTTGGCCCTTGGGCAGTGCCAAGCCGCCCTTTGCTTGCATTTCTCATTCTGCTGCAATAGGATGCCTTGTTTTTTTTAGTATGAACTATCTATTCACCGTATCTATATTGTCTAAGTTCAAATTATCAATACTTATCAGCCTATTATCAATACTTTTCGATATACCTTCTTTACATTACAGGAGTTGTATCGGGTCAAACCACGGTTCAAAACTTAAACTGACCCCTCTGAATTGGTTTTGAAAAAAAATAAGTAAAACATAAAAGAAAAATACCTATACAGGCCGACATTGAACCTTGATTTTGTCCTTTGGTTAGAACCACATGGTTTGAATCATTTCTGACTTATGGGTGATATTGGCTTCGTTTAGGAAAACCCATTCTCACACCGTCCCAAAAATCTGTTGCATTGATACTCCCTTCACAAGGCGAGATAAAGGCTGCTCGAACAGGTGTTGCCCTGACGGAAGCCGAATTCCTTCTGGGCAAGTATGTCCCAATCAATAAGTGCAATTGTACGAAGCTCTGTTTGTTTGCCATGGTTATATGCCATGTGTCAAAAGCTCAGCTTTTCCGTTTTCGGGATATTTCTGCTTGTCTTTATTACTTCATGAATAATCTTCATCAAAGCGATTGCAAACTAATTCCCAAATTTAGATTTGTTTTCGGGTCCAAAACCGGGCAAAATGCCAAAAACCTCCCACAGCCTTAGCCCATAGATTAGACCATAGACCATGGGATGAGTTAATGAATTTGGTTCACTTGGTATTATTGCAAGATGTGATTGATTGAGGTTCTTATCTTGCCGCACGAGAGCTCATTCCAGCCCGAGCTTGACCTCTAGTGGTGGTTCAAGCCATGGAGTACAAGTGGATGAGGAACTTCTAAAATTCTATTAGTGTTGGTCTTCCTTGTTTGTTAAGGTTCAAGCCATGGAGTACAAGTGGATGAGGAACTTCTAAAATTCTATTAGTGTTGGTCTTCCTTGTTTGTTAAAGCACTACATGATCTCAAGGCCTTATGGTTTGCTTCCTACATACTACAGAGTGAATGGTATTGCCAAGTTTTTGGTTTGATTCACATTCATAGGTGAATATGACTTCTCCATTCAGGGCTTTGGCCTATTGGATCCAAATTCCAATCATCCAATGTGTCGTGACTTCTGTACATGAGTCGGTGGGTTCCGTAATAGATCATCTCTTAGCGCTTTGTCTATAACCATTAGAATCAACTTCGAATACCGAATACATTAAAACACCAAATTAGGGTATCAAATAGATGAGAAATACGATATTAGGATCAATTGCTGAACACAATTCGCAGTCTTAGTCTCTCATAACATTTGAGATGCAAATAGGAACTGATCATCCGCCCAAAGAACCAATGCCATGTTTCATGTTTGTGCACCAAATCATTTTCAGTAAAAATATACGGGAAGTGGAAGCCTTGCTGATGTTTGCATCGGTTCTCGCAATCCGCAATCAGTTTGATTCACATGCTCAGCTTTTCCATGTAAAGAGAAAGATTATCATATTTCCGATCTTTCTGGGCATTTCACTGACGCAAAGGCATTCCAATTACGTCAGCTAATTGCTCATTAGTTACAGTCTAAGGTTCAAAGTATCGAATCATTCCGATACGCCCTACAGTGTGGTGTATCGGGGATCTGATTGGTTCAGGGGGTGAAGGAGCCCTAAACAAGTCCCCTGAACCAGTTGTGAAAAAAAAAATTTAAAAAGAAAAAGCAACAAAAAGCAGTATCAATTTGCCCGTTACACCCCTACTGGCATATCGGGCGTATCAAAATTTTGAACCTTGATTACAGTGGGCAAGGCGGCGAGCACCACTCGAATAAGGTCAGCCATCTCCAACGTTAAAACAGCAGAGAGCACAAGACAAGATCATGGGACTCTTTAAAAAATATATATATTATGATTTCCCAAAAAGAGAAAAAAAAAAACAGAGAACCATATAAATCCGCCAATTATTGATTTTACCAGCCGCCAACATTCAGTCTTAGTAACCAACCTCAAAAACCAATGGTAACTGACAAGAACCCAGGGACAGATCAGGATGCCAATTTGCTAAATGAATAAAAGGAAAAAAGAACTAGTTGCGTATAAACAAATATTGACAGGGGTCTCACTAATATGTGCTTCCCCAATCTATGGAAATGGGAAAAAAAAGCTAAAAAACAGGGTTGTTGACGTTGACGCTGCAATTGACCCGTCTTTAGAAAGCGTAGAAGCTGCCCATTTTAATATTTATGGCATAAAGAAGCTTCCAGACCAAAGACTCTTTTTTTACTCCATCTCACAGTATCGTCTTTGAATTCCAGTATTACTACAATCAATTCCATTGGCCTCGACCAGTTGCTCAATATCTGCAGAAACCGACTTTTGGTTAGAAACCAACCAAAACTTGGGACTCCTCACAAGTCACAACCTTCAACAAACCATGGATCGCTAAATTTTGTGCAACAAAAACAAATTTGTGGCCCAAGCTTAAGCCAACACCCAAGCTTAAGCCAACACCCAAGCTTAAGCCAACACCCAACACCCAAGCTTAAGCCAACACCCAAGCTTAAGCCAACACCCAAGTCCAGTAGAGCGCCCAGGGCTAAACATTTGCACCAGGAAATTTCGGTAGGGCCAAGCCCAAGGATATTAAAAATGTCGAAACACAATGCCAACTAATTTAGGCGTCTCATCATGGTTTTACTGATGTGGCAGTTTTTGTTTTCAAAAACAAAACCAACCATGTTGTCAAAGACCCCTTTTGTGTCAAGGCTAAACAATCTTACAATCGGCTCATTACAGCCTCTGGTCCATTCAGGCAATTGCGGCAATCCAAGCCTCATTTATAGCAGGCCGTGCAACTTCACATCAGGCTAAAAGTTCAAACAGGAAAACTTTTTGAGAAAAAATAAGCAAGAAATAAAGATAACTAAAAAAAAGGTATCCAAGCCTCATTTATAGCAGGCCGTGCAACTTCACATCAGGCTAAAAGTTCAAACAGGAAAACTTTTTGAGAAAAAATAAGCAAGAAATAAAGATAACTAAAAAAAAGGTATCCCAGTTCAAGGAAATATACGAGCACCTAACCTGTACATGGCAACTCGAGGCTGTAGCTGGTGTTGGTGGTAATGTCAATTTAGAAGCTTGTATCAACCAAATCCAAAACCCTCACTGGCTTCATGAATAGCAAGTAACAAGCGCTCTTGAAGTTGTTCCTTGGTGGAATACTCAGGAAGGTCTAGCTGGTTGAAGCTGAAAAAAAACAAAAAAAAAAAGGATATAAATACCTCATCCGTTAACAACAATTTAGATGGTGTGACATTGGTGAATTATCTTAGAAGTTCCATTATTATACCAAAAAAAAATTATTTTGAAAGTTCCATTTAACCAAAATCAGCAACACACCCGAGGAACTGTGCAGACAAAACACGGCATTTAACCTGTTCCTACTTTTTTATTAAAAATTTTTCTGTAATTTGGATGTGACAACTCAAAAATGTGTCCTGCTTTTTCATTTTTCAAGAGCACATACAATAGACATGTGCCGAAATTATAGAAATGTCAGTGGTTTTCTTATAATAACCTTCCTGCACAGAAATTAAGGCATTGTGTTCCATTTGGATTTTGCATAAATGGGAAACAAAAAATAACTTTTGCTCACTGATGTTGCAACTTAGTTTAAATGCATGACCAAGCAACACAACATTGCTAACACCATTAGTTGTCACAAAACCAAGAGTAAGATTATATATATGGTACTTCAAGTTATTGTGAACACTGACCAGGTATGAGCTGATGGCAACCTCTCTGGAGCACCATAAGCCTTGTGGATCTGAAACCGTTGAGGGCCAGATATACCTTGAAGTGCTTTAAAACCTTCCAAAGGAACCTAAAAACCCCATTCAAAGAAAGAATTCATTTAGTGGCTTGCAAATATTGCATCTAATTCTTGAACTTTGAACATGTGTAACACCATATTTATGACAAAGAAATACAGGTATAAAAGAATTAAATCATGCATTTGCAGCAATCAAAAAAGTAATAGAACGATAGGTACACACCAGCCACATAATACTCAAAGAGCAAATCCAAGAATGTCAGAACAACGAAAGAAAAATGGGCACTTTCAGGTATATCCAATGTAAGCAACAGAAAATCCGTTCCTTTGAATTTAATGGCATACTGGGGGAACCTTGGATGTGCAAGTAGGAGTAAATTCATAACAAGGAAAAGAAAATTGGTCACTCACAAGAATGTCCAATAGAAACAAAAGAAAAATTAATCTCAGAAGACACAGATGCAGAACTAGGGAGTTTTAAGGGAAAAGACATATTTTCACAAGATTAAGAATGGCAAGGACTCTGGACGAGTGTTATAGTAGTCAGTAGAAAGGGACTCAAAGGTGGTGGTGCGATGGCTGCAACAAAGCAAACAAGGCACGTGACAATACTGGTACCAATTGAAGGAGCTAAGAACCTTGGCTGCTGAAGATAATGAAAGCTTCAGTTGGACATATACATCAGCTAATGTGCTAGTCAATGCAATGGCTAGAGAAAGGGGTGAATGGGGCACAAATTTTCTGGGGCAACTTGTTGTAAGGAACTAACTGTAGGGTGAGGAAATGCCTTGGGAATGCTTGGCATTCTGTACATATTCTGATATTCATTATTTTTTCTAAATATCAATAAATTCACATTTACCATTATACTTCTGATAGTATGATGAATGATGTTAAAATCTATGAATAAAGCATTCAATTTGAAAGCTCAATCCAGGAACGAATTCGAGGGCTTCATTGATTACATCATTAGGGAGGTCAAGGACAGGAGTTCATAGCCATGGAATGGAGATCATAATGGTTTGTTTTGGGCATTATTTCCTTCAACCCCAGACCGATTAGTCCCTTTTTAACATACCTCCTCAGTTGAAGGTAGAAGGTGATTCACAAGTGGTAATTGGGTGAACAAGGGGAAGTATCGATAATTGTTTTACTTCCCATATAATGTCTGTATCCTAATGTATGTCTTGTACATTATTTTATATCATTATATTTTACATGTTACTGGAGGTACTGATAATCCATGGAAATGTACTAGAGTAATTCTCATTCAGCTGGGTCAGAAGATCAGACAATGAATTTGCAAATCAACTTGCAAGAAGAGTAAATTGGGTGGAGTTGCATTTGGGCCCTACATTACCTGGCTGTGTGCGCGTGTGGCACACACACACACAAAATCCATTTGATATGGGATGACAAACAAGATGGATCATTTTTTACAGTAAAAAAAAAAGGATTCTATCCCTATTTATTTGAGGGTTAGAGGCATCAAATCAAGATGGTTTTTTTCTCTATTAGACCTCTTAAATGCTACTATTTCTAGAGTACAGTTCAAAATCAGTTTCTACCAATTGGCCCATAAACTAGGTATTAACATACTTAAAGGTTGTCTAAGGGCTATCAAACTTTTATTAGACCTCTTAAACTTTGATCTGTAATTTTTTGCAAGATAAAAAAATCATAATTTATTGGTAAACTCCTGAAGCATCAAATTTTGAAAAATGTATAACAAATTAATCATACAACTCCATGCAATCTGTTCTAATTACCTTTGATGTTCCAGTGACAAACTGCAGCAACCTTGCCATGTCCTCCTTGTTGAAGGCTTTGGCGATCTCCCAGAACCATTGAACAACACTAGATGCAGCTGTGTAACCAGTATATTCAGTGTTGGCTTTCAGATCATCCACTGCAAAAACAAAAGCATGAAATAAAAAATTTGCCAGAATATAATGACATATAAGTGTCCATAAAATATGTTAATTCATCAATAAAAGAATGAAATACGTTAAAGGGTAAACCAACTCACAATCAATTTCTGGAAGACCACTTATTAGTAGCTCAAGTTCTTTATCATTAAATATCGAAATAAGCTCCCGTGGAATTAATTCATTGAAACCTTCCAGAAATGAGTTAATTTGAGGACGGATGGCATTTGTCAAGATGTGTTCAGCAACAAGGTCTACATACTCATGCTTTGTTTCTTCTGTGACTCTAATATTTCTTCCTCCAGGTATAAGCTCATAATCAGTAACCTTGCAGAATGTAAGAAAATAAAAAAAGCACAAGTAGAAAAGGTTACAAAATCAGTTGAGAACTTAAAAATGAAGTCTTAGTAATAACAAAGCTTAAGATATTATCAGATGTATCAGAAAGCGACTAATTCATACAAGATTATAAGAAACAAACCTTGAGGACAAAGGTTTCTTGGGCAACAAATATTTTAGAAATCTCCTTACCTCAGTCTTTTCATAAAGTATGTGCTTCTCTTCATCCGCATCCATGCTAAATGTCAGATCAGGTATGTCACTCACATCATTCTAATTTAAATAAATATAAAAATTATGGTCAGTATTGCATCTAAGCACAAATATAATTGTGACAAGTAGAATAACAAAATTTATTTATTGCTATTGAAGCTACTAACCTCCAACATCCATTTCAAATTCTTGTAGTAATCAGGATCAACAGCCTCTATATCATGGTAAGTCACCTTCACACCAAGAATGTGCTTGTAGAAGGAGCGAGTGAAGTAGACATCCAAAAGTTGACCATCAAACAGTGCTTTAGCAACCTGAAAAGAGGTCAAACATCAAAAGATAACATAACCTGCTATTAAAAATTTAAAAAAAAAAATCCAAGTTAAAGAAGGTTTAGGTTTCTATGTAGAATTACCACACGGCCCACAAACTTGAAATAGGATAGATGCTCAGTTTGGTAAACCGAATTTGGATTAGGCTGAAATGTCGCATTGCTTCCAACAGTAGTGAAAAGCAGAGCTCCTTTGTCAAAGATGACCCTAGAAAGTAACTGGTACCATTCTCTTGTCAGACCACCAGCATCAATCCCCTCTTCACCTTGAAACTGCACAGTTAAACGCCCTTTCAGATCCTGGCTGGGACGCATTCGCAACTGATTATAGGAATCCTCCAAGACATATGCCCGACGAACACTTATGCGCAGCGGAGCAGAAGGGTGTTGTTCATGCTGTTGCCTGATCCTTGAGCGGAAATATGCTCTTTTATTGTCAAAGTCAATAAGCCTTGGTGCCTTCAGCATTATGGAAAGAGATTTCTCCAGTAATCCTGGATTTTGTCTGATGAATGCATTCAAAAGGCGACGATGCTTCTCAGAAAACTTTGCAAATGTGAGGCCTCCATCAGGCCGCTTCTGGGCACATCCACTACCTTTCGCAGACATTGTCACTGAAGTCCCTGCAGACTCTTTGACTTCTCTTGCAGTAACATTAACATGGTCTTGTTGCATTATCGAATTGTTTGCTTGTAATTTCTCACATAAAACAAAGAAAGCCTCAATAAATGGCAATAGCCTTTGGGTTCCAGGAGGAAGTGGTGGAGAAAGAGAAGAGGCACCTGCTACATGGTCCCCAGCATTTAGATTTGGCATGGGAGAAGAGAAGTGGGAACTTTGCCCCAGCTTTGTCTCAGTTGTGCTTATACAGTCACTCAGTTCTTGCCACAATGGCTCTAATGCAACATTTAGCTTCCACATGATGGTATGTTCCTCCTGTTCCTCATCATTCTCTTGACTTTTATGAGCATCATCTATAGGTTGGGTGAGTGTACTAAGTGCCTGCAATACACGTAAGATTGCAGCCCCAGCCATGGACCCAGCACTCAAACCCAGCATATGTGTGTTCCTCAGTGTAACAAGTTCACCCACTGCTGAACTACTCAAGCCATGTGCTAGACCAGCTAATTCTGAAGTAAAAAATTTCCGATGAGGAGCAGCAACAAACGCCAACTTCTTCAGAACCTCAGCTGCAAGCAAATAGACCTTGTCTGACAGCCTAATAATCAATAATTCAAATTAGCATTTCTGATATTGCAGCAGAAAGGGATAATGAGGGAACAAGACTACAAGGACAAGTTATGTATATACAAATTTACTTGTAGATGATCAACTGGGAGGTAAAAGCCAACATAAAATTCTAGAGCAATAACGAAGTTGAGAAACCAAATTATCAGCACTAAAGAAAAATTAGAGACCACTCCAAAAAGAAAAATTACCCCTCATGAGCAAGAAGGCTGCAGAGATTACGCAAGTCAGATTCTGGAAGCTGCAAAAAGACATCATATGGACTAATCCTCCCTTTCTCATCAGAAGTGGTTATCTCAGAACTCCTACTTTTACCCAATTTTTTATTGGGATCAGATTCAGACACGGAAGGATCTATCTGAACATTAACTGGAGCTTCACTGGGAGGTGAACTTTGAGAATTGGCCATAACTTGCCCAGACTGTGGTTGACACTCCACCTTTGATGCTGCAGTATATACAACTACATGAAGGAGACCCATTACCTGAACACAAGAATTTGAACTGTAATATGCCACAAGCTATAAGGATAGGGAAACATTGTTCTTTTACAACTGGTGAATACATACCTGTTCAAGATGAGCACTACTGCGTAAAAATAGTGGTTGATTCAAGAGTTTCAGGAATAATATTACAGGTATATCATTTTGAGAGGCTCCCAATGGATTTAACAAAGCTGGCTCTTCCATAACTTTCTCCTTTCCTTTGTCCTTCTTAATTTCTGAATATGTTGTTGTTGGAGACTCAGGGATCAGTGACGGATCAAAGTAAAACAGGATATTTGCAACAGCAGAATGATTAGTGGCCAAATATGTCAAAATCTCAAGAATTCGACGTGACACCAGAGGTGGAAGTCCTGCATAAAAATAATAGAATTCCTAATAACAGGACATCTTAAAACAAAACATATAACATTAAGAAATTTGAAAAAGAAACAAGTGATCACATCAAGTAAAAGTAGTACCATCCAATATTTGTGACCGGCCATAGACAACATTCCATTGACAACCATAGAGTCTCTGAGACATAAAGGTGGCAGATCCACTAACAGAACCTTCAGCCTCAGGCCTAATCATATCAAGCAGGAGCCGAAGTAAAACCGCTCGTGTAACACTATGTGCACATAGGTTCAACAAGAGTCTTTGAAGGAGGCCTTTCCCAAGGGGCTACCCATACAAAGAAAAAACAGCAAAGAAAAAAGTAACCAAGTTAGAGAAAGATTCCAATCAAGTATTTTAATCTCATTCCAGACTATGACATCATCTGTCCAAAGTAAAAAACAAACATAAAATGTAAGCCACAAGATCAAAGCATGTTAGGGAGATACTTAGAGTACACCCTAACTGCTGTTTCGATATTCTGTTTTTTTATTTACAAGTTCCCCCTTAGGATCCCCCCAACCAATAAAGTTGATTCCTGGTCGCCTTTTGTCTTGTCAGTGTTAGCCATGTTCTTGGCTGATCTTTGTGCCCATACAAAGGTCACTCCCAATTTCCCTACAATTCTTTTCACCTCCCTTTTATTGCAGGTCTAAGCACCAATGGACCTGCATTATTCTGCTTGAACCACCACATTACTATCCTGGACCTTTCTTCCATCACTAGGTTATTGTAGTTTAGAGATTTTCTAAATCTTAGCCAATGTAGTACAGCCATTCATCCCTAGCCAAATCTTCTCTTAGCACAAGTTTGTAAAAGCTTTGTTTCTTTTTTCTAACTTATTATCATTTTTAATTCATATTCTTATTACAAGGTTCTCCTTCTGTATCACCTTCATCAAGTGCTCCAATTTTCAATTCATATTCCCATATTTATAGAGTTTCTGCTATGGTTCCATTCATTGCACAAAAAAATGAAGGGGAAAAAAAGATATTCACAGAAAAGGCTTTTTAATGGTGTTTGTTTGCATGTAACCAGCCATAGAAAACAAATGATTTCCAAAAAACGAGCAGTAATAGGTGAGAGGGGGAGAGGGGGAGGAGCTGAGATGGGAGAGGAACTGTGTTTTCATCTGGTGCCATTGTCTGAGTTGGTGAGAGGGTGAGAGGGGGAGAGGGGGAGGAGCTGAGATGGGAGAGGAACTGTGTTTTCATCTGGTGCCATTGTCTGAGATGGTGAGAGGGTGAAGCAAAGAGAAGGTTGCTGAGAGGGTGAGAGGGTGAGAGGGAGAGGAACTGTGCTTTCATCTGGTGCCATTGTCTGAGTTGGTGAGAGGGTGAGAGGGTGAAGCAAAG